AACAAATAACAACTACATCAAAATGCATGCCTAATTTATCCACTTCATCTTCTTCTCAATCCAAGATTTTTACAAATTTTTGCAAATTCTTGTTGTTTAGAATCTGAACAAGAAATATAATTAATAGATTCTCTAATTATACTTATTTGTGGTGTTATTAATTTCAAACCATCTTGCACAACTAAATTCTCCCCTCTTTTTGAATTTTTTTTTATTTTTATTTTTTCAATTTTTTTTGTTTGGCTCTCTCCCCCCCTTTTTTTAATTTTTGTTTTATTTTTTTTTTCAATTTTTTTTTACGGGCCGCGGGTTAACCGCGGCCAGTGGGGGTGCAACCCGCGAAGCCCGCGGGTTACACCTCCTTGGCCCGTGAACCGCCCGCACGGGTCACGGGTCGGCCCGCGGTCCCGGTTTCACGGGCCGATTTTCACGGGTCATGGCCGGCCCGTCCGTCTTGACACCTCTACCCCATAATCCTAATTTATATCTAATAATCTCAAGACTAACTTAATACATCAAAAACCATTTTCCTCTTCAAAATTCAGATGAACTTCAGCTAACACAGCATTGAGCCACCAGCACCACACCAACTCAGAGACAAAGAGATTTTGAGTCTTCCGTGATAATATTTGCTACGAATAAAGTTTCAGATCAATAATTTTTTTGAGCAAACTGAGGTAAAAAAATCTGAAATTATATGGATTTCGCATTTATCTCAACTATTGAATGATTGTGAAATAGATTTATTCACTTTGATGAAAATGATATATTTACTATATACATGATTCTATTCTATTTGTGTTGACATATTCTTGTTTTGTAACTGAATTAGGTATGATAAAATATGTCAATAGAAGCTAAAAAATGTTCATATGCAATTTGATATGTGGATGAGCTGTTTAGTAAGCTAAAAGAAACCAACAATGACTTTAGTGGCAACTATACATGCATCAATTTAATTGTTGTGTTTTATTGTATGCTTAGATATTTTCTTAAATTGTTTCTTTAAGTGTTTTGAATTAATAAGGATGATATCTTCAAGTTTTGGATTTTGATCCAATAGGCGTAAAGTTTATCATTTAAGGTGTTGCCTTATTGATGTCTCAATAACTGTATTATGGAACTATATACTTTCAAATAAATATTTAGTTTATAGGTGTTTTGGGCCTTATATTTAGTTTATTAAACTTGTATTGTAACGTTTTAGCCTAAAAAAGGTGAACAAAAAACTATTATTATGGTTTCACTTGGATTTAGTTGGTATTTAAATTTATAATAGATATATTTAGTTGTTTTAGATTTATTGCTAGTAAAATATAAATATATATTGAATTCAATGAATTAATGATATAAAAGTAGACAGGCAAAAAAATATACGACGAAACTGACGGTTTAAAATAAGACCAAACCGTTAGGCTTATGTTTGAGTTTTTTTTCAAACCGTTCAAAATGATTTGGTTTAGGTTTGAGTTTTTCTCAAACCAGTTTAGACGGTTTGGTTTGAAAATCTGTCAAAAATCGGTAAAATTGGACTGCTTACACTCCAATCTCAAGATCGTGGAGGAATTTCTAAAGCCATACAAATATAGTTGAAACACAATTAGCTGTCGTGGAATCAGCTACACAAGTTTGTTTGATGTTCATCCAATAAGTGTTCCTCCTCCAAATATGACTACTAAACTAGAAGTGTATGCCATTCGAATTAGACAAGTGTATGCTACCCTCCAAAAATACTTGAGTTTGTACTTCACTTTCAATCAGTGCTCTGGTATACCATATAAGTTAGATGATAGAGATTCCAGACTCAAATTCCCAACAGCCTAACTAATATTAGATATGGTGAATAACATAGCATAATTAAGCTCTTATTTGGGTTTCATTATTGTAGATTATAATGTGAGGAATAATAATTTTTGAAGAATGTGTGGTTAACAAAGAAGGTTTACGTATAATATTATTTTATCGAAAAATGTGTTTTTGATAAGAAGAGAGAGAAAAATGAACTTTAATTTAATGAGGGCACACAGAGGTTAAGCACGTTATGACATATTTATTATGTTAAATTAAATAGTTGTGGCCAAACTTAAAAAAGAAAAAAATGAAGTTCAAAATTTTATATTCCAATTGAATCTATTTGATTTTATCACTCGCTCGATGATAAGTAATATTCACTCTACATACTAAACCCCTGTTTGATATTGATTATAATTTAGATTTTAATTAAGCTAAAGTTAGCAATTAATTTTAACCATATATTTTATGAGTTCTACAACTTGTCAACCACACATTTTATCAACTTTTATTAAAATTTATTAAAATTCTGATTTTAATCCTCACCAAATAGGGGCTAAACATCGTTGGTGGATAAAACCCTGGCCAACCCCAGTCTATTTAATATTTTGCCATATATTTTTTATTTTTTGTAAATTATTTTTACATATTATCCCGGCTTAAAAGTTTGTTTTAATTAGCCTTTGTTTAGCCCCCATTAAAATTTTTAAATGTTTTTCTTTCGTAATTTTAATCACTAATTTTCAAATAAAATAATATTACATACAAATCTAAATTTTTTCATTATTTTTCAACCACACATTCTCTTATCAATCACAATTTCAAAATTTATAAATTCTCCAGGATGGGGGCCAAACAATGATTTAATCTTCTTCTTAGACATTTACATGTCTATGTGGCAACAGTAGAATACTGCAGGAAATAGCCAAGGCTAGTGATGGCAAACGGGCCGAACGGCTCGTCGGCTCATTGGCGGTTCGAGCTCGTCAAATGATGAGCCCGAACAAGCTGACTAGCTAGGCGAGCGACTTGTGGGCGAGCCAACACTCGTAAGCTAGTCCAAGGCGAAGAGTTTATCTATTTATTTTTTTTAAAAAATGTTTATCTTAAAAAAAATAAAATTGACGATCTCGAGAGTCGAGATCGTGTGCATATGGGCCCCATTACCACCTCTAGCCAAGCTGCCAAGGCATTCCAATTTGTAATTTTCAGAGAGGGACAACACGACAAGAATAATACATATGGACCGGTCAGCTCTCTCTGTCCAATCCCATTTTCCATATAATACCTCAAAACTCCACTCTCTTCCCACAACAATTATTATCGTACATGTTTTTTATCCATTAATGTGAGAGTTCCTTGTACCAAAATTTTTTTGACAAATACATTTAACAAAAAATCTTAATCCTTAATTAAAATGGATCCAACGAACCACTTTTATTTTATTAAAACAATCTAAAATTTTCAAATGGATCTCATCCAACACTAAGCCCTGTTTGATCGACGTTATTTGAAAAAAAATAATATTTTGAATAGTGATTTTTAAGAGAATTTGTGATTAAAAAGTGTAGATAAATTTTAAATTTACGTGTAAAATATTTTATTTCGTGAAAAGTTACGATTAATACCCAGATTAAATTAATCTGGGATGCTTATCTTTCTTTAGCCAACCGTACAAAATTAATACGCTAGTGGGTTTAGAGTAAATTTTTTAAAATCAACTTATGAATTAAGAGCTAATAGCTACACTTATAAGCAAAAGAACTTATGGCTAAAAAAAATTACTTATAAGAAAAATAAATAAATCAATCATAGTAAAAAAATTCACTTACAAGTGAAATTTTCAATTTTTAAGTAAAAAAGGAAAAAAACTTATGAATAAGTGAAAAAATTAATATAAGTAAAATGTTATTTATTAGTAGAAAATTTGTACATATGTAAAATAATTACTTATGAATAAAAATTCATTTATAAATTATAAAAATTACTTATAAGTAAAATGTTCATTTATAAGTATATAATTTGTGTACAAGTAAAACAAATTATGTGTGCATAAAATTCACTTAAAAAGTCAATTACAAGTAAAATATTTCTTAAAAATTAAACAATAACTTTTTTAATTAAAAATTACTCATAAGTTAAACAATAGCTTACAAGTAAAAAAAAAAAAAAGAAGTAAATATAACTAAAAAATCACTTACTAAGTAGTAAAATAATTTATGAGTAAATTCATGTATAAGTAAAAAAATTTATTTATTTACTCGTACGTTTTCTAATACCGTATAAAGCCAAAAGCCGTATTAGAAAAATCCACCTACCGATCCCTCATAATCGTATCCTCCTAATTTTATCCCCTAATCTTATATGGTGTACCAAATGCCCTTATTGTTTTGCATTATGCTCTTATAAACCCACAGGGTTGCTTTAGAAGAATCTTTGAACCATATTGATTTAGGTAACCCAAATTTAATTTTGAATTTTGATGTGATCATGGGAACCTTGTTTGGGCCGGGTAGATTAATTTAATAGGAATGCACATGACTCGGTCAAAAATCGGCTTTAACCTAATTAATCGATTTTTAAAATTGTCTTTTAAAATATTGAGAGTTTAAGGAACTGAACATTGGACCTCTAGGTAAAACAATTATTTTCTCATCATTGGAGCTGTAGAGTACTTCAAATGTTTATCATGTGCAATAAGATATATGTATCCAATTTATTATATATATGTTTTCTAAAAGTATTTTTATAAAAACTTTGGTCAAAACTTTTACTTTATTTTATAAACCTAAATAATTAGTGAAAAATAATTTTAAAAAAATATATAATTTTGCCTAAAAAAGTTCTTATACTTTAATTTTTTTATAGATTTTTATGCAATGACCTATCGGTCTGATCATTGACCCACCGATTCAACTAGTAACCCTAGTACCTTGTCTGGGTCGATATCCTGGTTGAGTCTAATAACTATTATGCAATGACTTATCTTAATAACTTGTTGTACATGTAGTAAGATTGTAATTTTAAATAGTATTACTCTTAATTATTACCATACAAATTCTCTCCCTCTCTTTTCTCTTTAAATACTACATAGGCCTTGAAAAAAAGACTCAAGACGGTCTCTCTCTCTCTCTCTCTCTCTCTCTCAATGCAGTTTGGTTTCTTCCTTATAAATTCAAATCGTAATGGCGTGGAAACAGAGTTTGATGATGTATTTTGTGCTTTTAGTTGGTGGTTTCTTGGGAGTAAGGTGGGTGATTACGAGTGTGAATTGCTGGTATTATGAAAGGAAGCTGGGGAAGAAGAGGGCAAATTTGCCTCCAGGTGATCTTGGTTGGCCTTTCATTGGTAACATGTGGTCTTTCCTCAGAGCTTTCAAATCCAGTAATCCCGATTCTTTCATCTCCACCTTTATTACCAGGTGATCCCTCTCTCTCTCTCTCTCTCTCTCTCTCTCTCTCTCTCTCTCTCTATGATTATGTTCCAAGATAGAGATCAGCCAGCATGTTTTGCCATACAAAGTCGGCATTTTTGGCAAACACATCTCTATATATGCTGCCAGGAAAAAAGTTAGTTTTGGTGAAGTTCATTTACTCGACGTCATATATTAAATTTTTACTCTAAAACATTTAACGATGATGAACCAAAATTTATTTTAAAGATAGCTTAGTTTTTTATTGTTATTTATTTAGTTTTAGAATTACATATTACTAAGATCTAGTAATGTGAAATATCTATCGAGTATTGTAGCAAGTCGGTAGGAGAAGAGTACCCATTTTATTGGTCTAACGGGAGGTGGCAAGATTATAAACATATAGTTTCTTACTATTATATATTTTAAAAAAGTCGTATTCAATTTTACTCCTCCTACAAGTAAAAGTATTGGAGTTCATAGAAAATTATGATTCTTATTTTATTAAAAGAATATATAATTGAAAATAAATTTTAAAGAATTTATACCAAACATGAATTAAGTTAGAGAAAGAACTGCAGTTGTCTACAAGTATTTTAATTTGTGAAAGTTTTGCAGACTATTTTTGTCATTTTCCTTGGTCTCATGTTCCCAGCATATTGTCAGATATATTAATTATTAACATTTTATAACATGAAAATAATACAATTATTACTAAAGGTTCATAGGTAAATATTCAAGCATTTATCATTAAGGTTTACTCTCTTGAGCAATATATAATATGTTTCTTTTAATGTGTCAAATGTCAGCACATATAGTTTATCTTGAATCAATATTGATTTCTAAAGATTTTTCATTTGTCCCTTGCTAAGCATTAATTTTATATAGTTTTGTATGTCTATGATTTACAACAAATTATAGAATATTAATTGTTAACCAGTTTGCAATTGAAGTATTTATGTTAAATTTGTGCTTATGCAAAATTAATTTGATTTGTCACTGGTGACTTATTTATTCCCATTTCAAAATCCAAGGTCAGTTTTGGGTACGACGACGATTTCTAGCCAGCTAGTCTATCTACCGATTTGTCACTAGATGATATTTAGGGTGTGTCTGAGAGCACAATTTTGGCCAAAAAAATTGTTTTTTCAACCGTTGGAAATGAAATATAGCAGCCATTGTTGACTCTTTGTCTCACATGTGGGACCCTTATGTGGAAAAAGGGTCCATTTTTGGCTTAAAATCTGCTGAAAAGTTGGCCCAGACATGCTCTTAGATTTTTATTCGATATTACATCCACCCATTGTAAAATTGTCGGTGCTTCCTCTATATTTCTGGGGCCATATTAAGCTGACCCTATAGAAGAAAAGAAAGATTTATATGAATTGCAAAAAGCATTAGGCAGCTGCCTAGCAAGGATGGTGCATTTGGTACGTAATATTTGACAATATAAATAAAGAGAATATCGATTAAGTTTAATTTTTAGGCTGGCTCAATTCCGTTATCATATCAAACATGTCAGAATTAGAATAGTAAATTATGAGTTATGCTACATATACAACGTTGGTTGACAAAATAACATCTACTTCAATCATTTTAAAAATAGATTTTTAAATCATTTGAAATCAACGGTCTGAATTTTGCCGACACACTTTACAACCCAACTTTTGTAACTCAAATTTATACAAATAGCTTTATTGGTAAATCATAGTGACGAAGAGTGATTGGACAATTTGTTAAGGACGAAGAGGTAGACATAGAACGATTAAACAATTTTGTCATGTCCAACTTTTTGACAACATTACTTCAACTTACTTGTAATATGCAGGAGGAAAAACATAGACATCATATTTTTTGTGGGTGGCTACAATAACACATCATATTGCTGTGATGTTTTTAAGTAACTTGACACTATTAGATGGACCCAAAGAGTTTCACCCTGTTTGGTCCACGGATTTTGCTATTTGTACATAAAAAATGTACATAATGAATTACATAATATGATGAAAAAGTTTACTGTATTTTAAATTGGTAAAAGATGAAGTATCATGTGACATTATGTAATTCATTATGCATATCTTGATGTATATATAGCAAGGTCCATGGTCCATATAGTAAATTCCTATTTAGTTTAGCTAAAAATCAATTTTTTAGTAAATTTTGATAAAAGTTGATGAAATATATGGCCGTAAAATTGATAAAAATTGTACATCCCGTAAAATATGTAGTTAAAATTAATTGTCGACTTTAATTTAAATTTTTATTCAACTTTTTATAATCAAATAAAAAGGGCAACAAATCTTCAGCAGTGTAGTTAACATGTGTCCATGCGACTTCAAAAGTGTGTACATAATTTAAAAGTTGTCATGCCATGCAAAAGTTAACTAAAAAATGTTAGGTTAAGATTAAAAGTAAATTAAATTTTCTTTTATACAGTGTGTTTGGGACACATTCTTTTGAAAGAATGTATTATTGAATAGTAGATTGATGGAGAATGTGTGGTTAAAAATGAAGGAAAAGTTATTGATGTAATGTAAAATATTATTTTATTAAAGAATGTGTGGTTGAAAATGAGTAGAAGAATGAGAATGAAAAAAATAACGTGTACCAAACATGGCCTAAATATATTGGAATAAGTTACTTTTTACCCCTAACTAAAAAAATAACTTATTTTGCTTCTATTTGCCACTTTTTATGGAGGATTTTTCCTTTACAAACCATGTCATTAAATTTATTATAAAATGCAGATTTGGACACACTGGACTTTACAAAGTGTTGATGTTTGGCAGTCCTAGCATCATTGTTACAACACCAGAAGCATGCAGGAAAGTTTTAACAGACGATGAATCCTTTAAACCGGGGTGGCCTTCATCAACTGTAGAACTTATTGGAAAAAAATCATTTATTGGCATTTCATATGAAGAACACAAAAGGCTTCGAAGATTAACTGCGGCTGCAGTAAACGGACCAGAAGTATTATCTCTGTACGTGAAATATATTGAAGAGATCGTAGAAAAAGGTTTGGAGAAATGGGCAGGCTTGGGAGAGATTGAGTTTTTGACTGAACTCAGGAAGCTTACATTCAGGATAATTATGTATATTTTTCTGAGTTCAGAGAGTGAGCAAGTAATGGAGGCATTGGAGAGAGAGTACACCATTCTGAATTATGGAGTTAGAGCAATGGCAATCAATGTTCCTGGATTTGCATACCACAAGGCACTCAAAGTAAGGTTTGAGTTTTGGTTCGTTTTCTTAGCTGAGACGGTCCAATATAGTAGCAGAGAAATAACTATCCTCGATTCAAGTTTTCCACAACCCATTTATGAAAAGCATACAAACGTTGGTTGATGAAATAATAAATCAAAGGAAAACTCCTTCAAACGGCTTAAGCATTTAAATGAAGTGGTTCTAATACATGAATCCTATATTTTATTTTGTCTCTAGTTGAATGCTTAAATCGAGTATTACCATTTCAGGCACGTAAGAAGCTGGTCGCTATTTTCCAGTCCATGGTCGATGAGCGAAGGGAGAGGAGAAGGAAGAATCTGTCGAAACATAAGAAAGACATGATGGATACTCTTATGGATGTGGAAGATGAGAATGGAAGAAGATTGACTGATGAAGAGATCATTGATGTTCTTGTAATGTATCTGAATGCAGGTCACGAATCCTCAGGGCACATCATTATGTGGGCTACCCTTTTTCTGCAGAAGCATCCTGAAATTTTTGATAAAGCTAAGGTACCTAAATCCAGCTTATTACTTTTGAGGTGATCTTGTTCTCTATATTATAGGGTCAATAATTAGGGCGATGTTTCATGCGCTGCAGTTTTGAACTGAACTAGACCTAGACACTTTAATTAGCAATATTTTCACAATCATGCTATAGTACCATAATTCTTGACAAAATGTCACATGGTATTAAAAAGTCATTTTTCCTATCAAATCATGTGCTGCCATCTCGGATTATGTCATTGTATCTATTACATTTTTCTGGCAAAGTAGCAAAATCCATTTTGTTTTTAACTGGTTTTTTTGTTTTTTTTGCTTATACTTTTCAGAACTATACAACCTATCTTAGAAAACAAGCCATTCTGTTGACTCAGAGCCATCTTCCAGGATCATGGTCAAGATCTTAGGAAATTGTCTTAAATTATATTCGTTCAATCACAGTTTGAATTATTTTTTCTAACCTAGTTTTTCTTAATTGATTATTGTCATTCATGGATAACAATTCAGGCAGAACAAGAGACAATTGTGAAAAATAAGCCACCTGGTCAAAAGGGTCTAACACTAAAGGAAGTAAGACAAATGGAGTATCTTTCTAAGGTAGCAAGCTTTTTTATCCTTCAAAATTCTTCAGCTCCACCAGATTAATTCATATTCGCATGTACTGAAATTCTGTTCTTTTCAACTTAAGGTAATTGATGAAACACTTCGTGTGGTTACATTCTCTTTCGTGGTCTTCAGAGAGGCAATGAAAGATGTCGATGTTAGCGGTCAGTAAGAATAAGCGTTTTCTTCAACTTTATGAAGTTGATACAAAAAAATTTGCCATTTCATGTGCCTGCTTAGTGTGTTAGAAATGTAGTCACAATTGTGTATGAGGACAAAAGTTGGCTTGTCTTAATTTCAGGTTACACCATTCCTCGTGGATGGAAAGTTTTGGTCTGGTTTAGGAGTGTTCACCACGACACGGAAACATATCTTGAGCCAAAGAAGTTTGATCCTTCCAGATGGGATGTAAGTGTCCCCCCCCCCCCCCCCCCCCCCCCCCCCCCCCNCCCCCCCCCCCCCCCCCCCCAAATCTACGAGTACATCTGTAATGAATCGAGTGGAGTGAAAAGAAAAAAAGATTCATGTAATCGACTCCAAATTGATTGGAACCTGTCTTAGTTTGTTTTTGTTGTTGTATGCTGATTCTGATACGTCATCTACAGGGATTTACACCCAAAGCAGGAAGTTTCCTTCCTTTTGGAGGTGGAAGCAGATTGTGTCCTGGAAATGATCTAGCCAAGCTTGAAATTTCAATTTTCCTTCACTATTTTCTTCTTGATTACAAGTGCGTTATACTGCTTCGCTCTCCCTCTTGTCTAAATTCTTGGAATCTTGCCAGCAATTTGCAAGTTACAAAATAAGAAAAGTACAATTGATTATGCAAATTAATGAAATATATAATCTCCTACGTAATTTTTGAGCAACCATTATTCTCCATTGTTAATTATATTTTGCAGGCTTGAGCGTTGCAATACTGCTTGTCCGGTAATGTACTTGCCACATTGTAGGCCTAAAGATAACTGCTTGGGAATAATACAAAAAACCTCTCGTATAGTCGACAAGAATTTACCAGAGTTCCAGGAGGCAATGGATGCTCAAGAAGCACTATCACGGGAAGGCGACTAGGGTTTTGATCGCCGTCTTATTTCTTGAACTATTTAGAATAACCTAAGAAGGAAAAATATATATATATTTTATCAAATTTCTGCACTCAAATAATACTCTTTGGTGATCCTAGGATCTGTTCTCTGTACAGAGAAGGAAAAATGTATCTATGCTGCTGAAATCAGTGAACTCTGGCTTTGTTGTCATTTATGATGCACAATTATGCTGCATAACTAGTTACATTTGCATGATCTAGAACTTGATTTAGCGGCTCATTCCAAAAGGTGTGAATGCACATAAATAACATCCACGGGAGTCTTACATTTGC